AGGCTTAATGGAAGGAGACACTGGTTCTTTACACATGAGCTTAAAAAGCTAATAGTCACACCAGCTATCCATGTTAATTAGTTTTGCTTTTAATTATGCAGACACACGCACGTGCACACACATACACACCACAGGGCTGAGAAGGTGGTTTAGTGAGAAAGATGTCTGCCATGCAAGCATGAGGGCCTGTGTTTGAATTGCCCAGAGCTTCTGTAAAGCCAGGAATGGAAGCACACATCTGTAACCCACCAGCACTACTGTACTGAGACAGGAGGGAGAGATGGGGAAACCCCATAGGCTACCCTGTAATACAAAGCAAAGACTCCAGCCCAGGCAAGATGGGAGGTGAGGAACGATATGCAAGGTCACCCTCAAAGAAAATGGCTCCCAAAGGGAGTCACTGTGGGGTGCTGTGACTTTGTTGGAGTGGATATGGCCTTATTGTAGGAAGTGCATCACTGTGAAGGAGGGCTTTGATAATATGTCCAAGCTTTGCTCGGTGTGACACTCAGACCACTTCCTGTTGCCCATAAAACCTACATAGGATTCTCAGCTACTTCTCCAGCACCACATCTGCCTGCATGCTGCCATGTCCCACCATGATGGCAATGGACTGAACCTCTGAACCTGTAAGTTGCCATCTCAACTAAATATTTTCTTTATAAGAGTCATCGTGGTCCTTGTGTCTCTTCACAGCAATAGGAACCCCAACTAAGATACCGTTTGACCCCACATGCCACCCATATATACCCTATGCATGCACACATATAATTACATCATATATACACATCAGCCTAGAATACCATTTCTGTCTCCCTTGCTGTATGAAGGAGCTAGTAAATATTAGGGTCTTTCAACTCATGTGAGCTAAATACAATACGACAACGTAGGCCCTCACTTCTGAAGTACAAAAGCCAGGAGATGGCAATCAAGGAAGAGTGATACAAGCCCAGTCCCACAGGGAGGCCCTGAAACTTTCTTATCCCCAATATGATGGTGGTCAAGTCCTGTCCCAGACTCCTCTAGAAACAAGTGGCCTAGGCTGACCACGTGGCACTGTGGACAGTCGATGGCTCACTAGAGAGCTCTGAAAGCGGCTGGCACTTCAGAAGGAAATGAAGTTTCTCGCTGACATGGAAACACAGAGGCAAATGCAACTTCGAGCCTTCCCTGACCTCCCTGACAACCAGGACGCCTGATCCAAGGAAAGAGAGAGTAGAGACTGAGAAGAGGTTTAACCTTTAGCAGCAACCAGGTTTGTGGTAAAGGTCATGGCATCTCCTCCAGGACAATACGGTTGCTGGTAGGCAGCCAGGAGAGGTGACCAGAGGTGGCCCCCATTTCTGAAGCAAGGGGAGGACTTCTTGGTTGGGAAATACTGGATGAGAGACACGCAGAGTGAAGAAGAGAAATGGCCATTAGTGAAGACAGAAAAGAAGCCCAATAGGAGCTGGGCTGCTAAGAGCCTGTGAAGGCTGGTCACTGGATTCACAGAAAAACCGAATGGCACATGACTATCCTGCAGTCTGGGGTGCAGAGACAGCAGAGGTACCTGGGCTCACTCGCTGCTGTGGCTTTTCTAGTTGGACACAACCAAACAGCACAAGAATTAAAGTGTGAGGTGCTGGTAACAACAACAGGACCGATCTGTCTCCACAGCAGGTGGAGGGACAGCTTCTGCTCTGGTCTGGGAGGTAACAGAGACTGGGAGAAGAGTCAACAGACCGCAAGGTCCCAGTGGAACTAAGAAGGTTGCTGTAGAATGTCTGCATTCCTTCCCTCAGGGTCACAGTATGTGGAGGTGAGGCCATGGCCATGATTAGATCATATCGAAATATGATCATCAGGGTGAGAACCCCCCCTCCCGATAGAAATAGTGACCTAATAAGGGGAGGGGAAGAGAAACTTTTCTCCATACACACACACACACACACACACACACACCAAGAAAGGCCACGTGAGGACCAAGAGAGGTGGCCTTCCATTCCCAGAGGTCTAGAAAAGCTCATATAGGCATGCATACAGGCACAGAGAAAGGCTCTTTACCAGAACCTGGCCATGCTGTCGGTGTAGGAGTTCCTTCTATCTTTGTGTTGCTTTCATTGGTTAATAAAGAAACTGCTTTGGGTCCTTGATAGGGCAGAACTTAGGTTGGCAGAGAAGACAGAACCGAATTCTGGGAGGAGGAAAGCAAAGTGAGGAGAACTGCCATGAAGCCACCAGAGTCAGGCATGCTGAATCTTTCCCAGTAAGCCACAGACATGTGGCAATATTAATTTAAATGGGTTAAATCCAGGTGTAAGAGTTAGCCAATAAGATGTTAGAGCTAATAGGCCAAGCAGTCATTTAATTAATACAGTTTCTGTGTGGTTATTTCGGGGTTAAGCTAGCCGGGCAGCTGGGACAAACAAGCAGGCCTCTCCTTTACAATATGCTGGCACCCTCACCTCAGATCACCTGGCTGCTCCTGTGCACCCCAAGCAGACCAAGTCAGGTGGAAGAACAGAGGAAACCAACCAAAGTGTTAGCATGCCATTAGGGTTTGAGTATGAAATGACCCCAAGGGTTTCATGGGTTGAATACTGGATACTGACCTGGTGGCCCTATTTTAAAAAGATTGAGGAACCTAGGAGGTGGGTCTTTGTCAGAGAAAGTAGGTCACTAGAGGTAAACCTTCAAAAGCTGTACATGGTCCCTGGGCCATTCCTAACCTTCTACCCTAACCTTCAAGAGGTGGAGAACCTCACCCCCCCCGTTCCCACACCCATGACGTTCAGCTAAAGCACATGGGGTTGAGTGGCCATGGAGGAAGCCTTTTGAAAACATGAGCAGAAATCCTTCTTCCTAGAAAGTCATTTTGTCAGGGCTGAAGGACGTCTCAGCAGTGAGGAGGTCTTGCAGCTCTTCCAGAGCTCCCCTGTTCCATTCCATGCTACCTACTTCAGGCAGCTTGCATATGCCTGCCACTCTAGTTCAGGGCACCTAGCGCCCTCTTTTAGCCTCTGCAGGCATAGCATTCACATGGCAGACAGATAAACATACACAAATAAAAAGTAAGTCTTGAACCTGTTCTCTTACGTTTCTTGCAGTTAGACAGAAGTAACCAGAACAGAGACTGTGGTGAGCAGTGTCTGTGAGAGCTCACTCTTCTATTCTCTTGTATGAGATTTTGGAAGGAAAGGGTTTTCTCCAAAGGATGACAGTAAGCAGAATATACGGGGTAGCTATGCCCAGAAGAAAAGTTATAGAAGGTGGGCACATGATCTAGAGGTGCAGAAGAGGGACCAGACTCAGTGTGGGGGCTTCCACAGACTGAGTTTAGCAAGTGAGGGGATGTGAGGGCTAAGAAGTATCACTGAGGAAGGGGCCCTTCACCCGGCTCCCCTGCTGTGAGAGCTTTCACAGTGTATGCACAGGCAGAGGGGACAGAGGCCTTCTGAGAAGGGCTGAGGACATGGGTTGTCTACCAACATTAGCCCACAGTAACAAGAACGCAGTGGCCCATAGTAAGGACACAGTTGCCCACAGTAACAAGGGCACAGTGGCCCACAGTAACAAGGACACAGTGGCCCACAGTAACAAGGACGCAGTGGCCCACTGTAACAAGGACACTGTGGCCCACAGTAACAAGGACACAGTGGCCCACAGTAACAAGGACACAGTGGCTCACAGTAACAAGGACCTAGGTTTACATTTGTGAGAGGAAGTGGATGACATAAGGATCAGGCCTTTAGGGACTGTGTCAAAGTAGAGGCACAGATAACCAGAGCTCAGATACAGAACTCAAGCCAGTGTCTAGTACAGTGGTCTTAATCCCAGACATGGCCTGCAGAGAGCACACTCCTAGATCTCTTCACTTTGCATTACCTGGCAGAGTCTGAGGTTTATTGTGAAGTAACCCATGAAATCACCCATTTTGAACAAGCGTGTGGGTAGGTGAGAGCATTGAGAAGTGAACTCAATGCCTCCCACATGCTGAACAATATCACTCTTTGTATAATGGGAAGGCTGGGGTCCAGGTCTGAGAGGTGCGCCAACCCCAGCAAAGATAACCTCACCACCTAGTAGCTCTGGACTGGCTATTCTCTGTTCAGCAGTGCCCTCTAGAGGTCAGGTGTGGATTGGCATATCAAGCCACTATGTCTTTCTTAAGGTTCCCTGCTACTAAAAAGAGATCTGGCCTGGGTAGAATCTCCCCTGGGATCCCAGATGTCTTAGCGTCTGTAGTGCTCATGAGAAATCACTAAAGATAACCTGATTGACAGAAGAACGTCTGTAAATGTACACAAGAGCTTGGTCCCAATTACATCTCTTACGGGTAAGAAAATGGTGTTTCTGCTACCAAACAACACAGAGAACCTCTAAATGGCCCCAGCATGTGCCCAGCAGCAAAGCCAGTTCTTCGAAGCCATCAATGGCAGACTGCCGATGAGCCAGGGCCCACTGGGAAGAAACAACAAACAGCAGTTAAACAGAAGGAGCTCTGCCCTCTTCCTTACCTACTGGGCATCATGGCACAGCGGGCAGGGGCAGGGCACCTTTTCCTTGCCAGCCTCACACATGCGAAGCACAAGCTGACGACTGGCCAGGAAGAAGGGATTCTCAAAGTGAATATGGCACAGCATTTTTGTTAGCCTGCTCCTGCAGCTGGCCCTTCCTGGCACCCTGTTCTGGGTTTGAGCTGCTTTGTTTGGGATGGGGCTGTTGGCTTCTGTTCTGTTTTAGGAGGGTGGAGTATTCCAGGCTGAGGGGACAGTGAGGCCATAACAGTGAGCCTGTCAGGAAAGACCAAGAGAGACCCGATCCCAACTCAGTCATGGTACTGGGGTGTAGTTTGTGTCTGCGAGCTGTGAAGAAGAAGGGGTCCAGTCCTTGATGCTTCCATTGGGCTCTGCCGCATGGAGCTGGGGCCGTGAACAGGTCATGCTGTGTTGCTACATGAACAAGGCTGTCTAATCCCTGTGTCCCTGTGGATCCTGACAAAATCCAGATGATGTCATGGGAAGTCCTCTGTCTTTGGTGGGCTGGCTCTCAGTGGCCACAGTCAGAAGTACGAACTATTCACAATGGCCTTCCTCATGCTGGAAGTCCTTCCTGTGGTGTCCATTTCTTTTCTCTGGGGTGCGGTGTTGTGGGACCTACAAGAAGCAGAATACAGTCAGTGACTGCCCAACACATGGTCGGTCCCATGACAGAGCTCTTACCATTCCCTGCTCAAAGTAGGGGGAATGTGCTCTAAAATAAACCAGATAACAGCAGTGCCAAGGGGGCACAATGTTGCCCAGTAAGCAATGAGTAAAGGGGTAATGGTGATGGGGAAGCCTGGCCATAATGAGGTCCAGCAAGTCAGTGCTCACCGCGAGGGGAGCCCCTTCTCCAGGTCCTGGATGGTGTCCTTCAGGGTCTGGCCCTTCGTCTCAGGCAGCAGAGCACACAGTAGGCCTGCCACGATGGGGAAGCTGCCAAAGATGACCATGGGGACAGCCCTGTGGTACTGTTCCAGCAGCATCACGAGCGGTGTGATGATGCCAGCAATCCTGGAGAAGATGCTCACCAGCCCCATGCCTGTTTGCCTGGGGAAAGCAGCACAAGCTGAGACTCTGGTCGCTGGTCAGGCTACACCCACTCCAGAGATGCGAGGACCCAGGTCTCAGCCACCGTGCCTGCCTACTCTAGCTGCTTCCTGGAGTAGTAAGCCCTCTCTGTTGCTCTCCTGTCACCTCTAGAGACCCAAATGCCTTTTCCATTTCTGAGTGCCCTCTCCTGGCACTCTACCTTCTCCTTTGCTCTAACTTCTCTCCCACATTCTGGACCAGAGGCAGGCAGGGCGTGCCCATGTCTATCTGTCCTCCAGTGTCCTGTGGTGACTCGGTGAGCAGACCTACACTTCAGTGGCCTAGATCCATAGGCAGCACACTGGCTGCCTGTGGCTGGTAGCGGAGCATCAGAGGAATGGGTGTTATTAGATCCCCAGGGCAGTGCTTACCTGATGATGGTGGGGTACAGCTCAGCAGTGTACACATAGGATATGGTGAAGGCAGAAGATGAGGCTGATTTCCCCACCACAGCCAGCACAGTGACCACCGTGGGGAGACCTGAAGGAGAGCCAAGGTCAGCCACATAGGGGGAAGACACCATCACCTAAGCCCACGCACCTCCCTGTCACTCAAGTGTCTCACCCTCCATGCCCAAACCCTGGGGAACCTGTAGTGGTGTGGGAGCAATGGGGGTAGCCCTGGCAGGGAGGAAGACAACCTGGTACCTGCTGGGATGAAGATGATGATGATGCACATGGTACCAGCCAGAGTCAGGGAACCTAACAGGCTCCACTTGCGACCCAGCTTCTCCATTATGAAGATGCTGGAAAAACGGGCAGGCATTTCCACTACTCCAAATATCAGCTGTGTCAGGTAGATGTCCAGGCCAAAGTCCCCCACTTGGAAGCTAAAGCAGTAGTACACCAGACTGTCCACAAACCTACAAAGTGCCCAAATTTCCTTGTCACTGCTGGGTGTACATCAAGTCACACCCAAAGGAACAGCCTAACTTAATGAATTCACACCTGGGGAGAGACCACCATGTTCACAGAGTAGTGTAGGAGTTCCTTCTGTTTATGTGTTGCTTTCATTGGTTAATGAATAAAGAAATTGCCTTGGCCTTGTGATAGGGCAGAACTTAGGTAGGCAGGGAAAACAGAACTGAATGCTGGGAGGAGGAAAGCAGAGTCAGAGAGAAGCCATGTATCCTCTGCCTGAGATGGTCACCAGTGAGAATCTCTGGTAAGCTACTGCCACGTGGCGATACACGAATTAATGGAAATGGGTTAAACTAGTATGTAAGTGTTAGCCAATAAGAAGTTAGAGCTAATGGTCAAGCATTATTTTATTAATACAGTTTCTGCATGGTTATTTTGGGTGTAAGCTAGCCGGGCAGTCAGGACAAACTAGGGGCCCTCTCCTTTAACAACAGAGCCTCTGTTCACCACTCCAGTGAAATACAGCAGAACAAGAGAGGTCCTCTGACTCAGCCCTCACTGAGGGACAAGACCCTGGACACTTACCAGACAGCAATGAGAACCAGTGTCACCTTCCTGAGATAGGGGTGTCTGAAAAGATCCAGCGCATTTCCAGAGGGACCTGTCTTCTCAGGGATCAGCTAGAAGAAGGACACAGTGAGGGGCCGGGACACAAGCATAGAGATGCCTGAGGCAGTGGGGAGCCTGTACCCACTGACAGGTACCTGGCTCAGGAGTTCTGGAGAAAGGGAACGCCTGTTCACCAAGGCTGCCTTCTGGATCAGTTGTTTGGCCTCCTCTATCCTTCCTTTGGAGAGGAGCCACCGAGGAGATTCTGGCAAAACCCTGTCAACCACACATGGCTCTGATACTGGGGTCTTGAGCCCAGTGCAGCCACCCAGAATTCCAGTGCATGATGAGCCTCCCACCCAAGCCCCACGGGTTCCCTCTTCTGGGTCCTGCACCCCGCCACAGCACTCCCAACAAAGGGTGGCCTATCACTGGCAAGGGCCTCCCTACCAGAAGTAGAAGATGAGCAGGAAGACTGGTGCGGTGCCTATGATCTGAAGGAGTCTCCAGTTGCGGACACCATAGGCCAGGCCTGCTAGCACCATCAGTCCAATGGCAATGTTACTCTGGGACAGGACCATGGCCCGTGTTCTCCAGGACGGCCCCACCCATTCTGAAACTGAGAGCAAAGGCTGAGCCTGGGCTGGAATCTGCCCACTCACCCACCCCTGGAGATTCCAAGTGCCAGCCTGTCAGGGATGTGACTCAGTGCCAGCACAGAAAACTTAGCTGTGACCTTTTTGGATGCACTTGGCTGACTCCATGCCCACAGGTAAATCTGGGCTCTAACTCCGAGGAATCAGGCTTTTGGGCCCAGATACTCACGGAGGACATTGGTGCTGAGTAAAAATCCAGCCACAGTGGTAGCCAAGCCAAAGCTTAGGGTCATATAAAGCTCAAAGCTGGACACACAGGCTGCGGCCATGCCCGTGATGGCAGACAGAAGCAGCTGCACCAGGAGGGAGGGTCTGCGGCCAATCCTGAGGTAACAAAAGGACAAGGCATGAAGCTAGGAGAACTTCCTAAGATGGGAGACCCAGACAGACCTGTCCTCGGCTCTGTAAGAGGAGAGACGGGGTCTTCCATGGAGCCCCATTTGAAGGCAGGCATGAAGACATATCTTGATGACTAACAACTCTCCAGGGGGGTAACTGAGTCAGCACCAGGAGCTTAAAGCACCCTGGTGCAGCAACACTTACCAGTCACAGAGGGGCCCAAAGATGAGGGCCCCAACGAGGAGGCCAGCCATGACTACCGACTGTAAAGTCCTCTTCAGGTACTTCCGACCACACACCAGGTCAAACTGAGGCAGAAAAATACTCATGTAAGACCAAGCGCAGCATCCAGGTCCAACTTCACTCTCTAGGGTCCCATGTTTTCCACACTGTGTACCAGTCAACACCATGGGCATAAGATAGTTAAAAGTCTAAATGGAAACATCATAGCAATCTTTGAATTCTCTCCAACATCACAACTAGCCCAAGAATTCACAATTCAAAACTGGGTATGCTTTTTTCACCTCCAATGAGATTAATGCCACAGTATTTTTCTTGACAGTTGCTTTTATAAAAAGCAAATAACATGTGCAATTCTGCATGAAACGAAACATGAGGGTGGCAGCATTGGGGGGCCAAGACGCTGTGCCCCTGCAGGCACCGACTAGCATGTTTCAGTCTTCTAAAGAATGGAGGAAGTGTTTCTTTTCTTTTTGTTGCAATGATTAAAAAACATGACTAAAAGCAAGAAAGGCTTATTTGGTTAACACTCCCGGGTCATAATCCACTGCTGAAGGATGTCAGGCCAGGAGCTCAAGGCAGGAATCATGGCGGAAGGCTGGTTACTGGCTCAGCCCTCCCACATCCATCACCAGTCAAAACAATCTTACAGACATGGCTGATGTAGGTGGGTCTTCTATCGATGTGTTACTTTCATTGGTCAAATAAAGAGACTGCCTTGGCCTTTGATAGGACAGCAGCTTAGATAGGAGGAGTAGACAGAACAGAATGCTGGGAAGAAAGCAATGAGTCAAACACCATGATTCTCCGACCCAAGATGGATGCAGGTTAGGATCTTTCCCAGTAAGCCACCACCTCATGGTGCTACACAGATTAATAAATATGGGTTAAAGCAAGATGTGAGTATTAGCCAATAAGAGGCTATAATGGGCCAGGCAGTGTTTAAATGAATACAATTTGTGTGTCGTTACTTCTGGGCATAAGCTAGCCAGGCAGCCAGGAGCCAGGCAGCAGGAATGCAACCTGCTGTTCCTTCTAAAAGCAGGCCTGCTGGCCTCATCACTATACATAGCCATGGGTTAATCTGATCTGGGATATTCCTCAACTGAGGTTCCCTCTTCCCTGGTGACTCTGGGTTATGTCAAATTGACAGTAAACGAACCAGCACGGAGTGTATTCAATTTTCCATTGTTTATTTTGAGGCAGGGTATCATGCGGACCAGGGTGTACTCAAATCACTTTATTACACAGGATAACCTTGAACTCCTCATGCTCTACCTCCTGAACACAGGATTATTAGTATTTGTCACAATGCCAGCCCTGCGTATTAATTTTGAAAATAATTACTTGTAAAAAGTACCGTTCAACTATTTGAATGTAATTACTTAATATGTAGAACTGAGGAGTACTTTTTCTGGCATATAGAATACCCTGCAAAACCATTGACAATTAGAATGTAAAGTCTGGAAATTTCTGACAGACCTCTAATAACTCTTCCTGACAAACAGCCTGTCTCTCGTGTGAGCTGCTTGGACCCTCCCAAGACTCACAAGTGGCTGACCAGTTTCCTTCATATGCCCACAGTCTGATCAGAATCCTAGAGTACTGGCATGCCATGTGCCCTCTGGTCAAGACACAAATATGCACTCGAGGGGTCGGAAGAGAAAATGTCACTCCACCTAGAGAGATAGGCTGAGCACACAGGCATACCAAGGATCCCCACATCCCTGCCTAGAGGTCTTCTACACACATGCTGACTGCTATCCTTGCAGGCTGCGACCCGGTCCCTGGCATGCCTGTGAGGCTCTTCCGGGGTCACAGCTACGCACTGTGTGAGGGACTGGGATAAAGGCATGCAGCACTCATGTCCTGTAATTAGACCGCACAAGTGTGAACTTTGTAGTACATAATGATGTTGCATCACAGGGTCAAAAGTTTAGACACGCCTGGTAGGTGTTTCTTACGCCAACTGAGTTGACAAAGCTAACCATCCATAAGGTTGAAAACACTGAAAAGAGCTGTCTTTTGCCTTTTCATAATTGCTATCCCAAACTGAACAGAAGGACCCCTGGCTGGTTAGAAACACTTGGTCCAAAGTCAGATGGTGAAATGTGGATGTGGTACATGCCTGTTGCTGCATGCATAGAATAAAACCATGTGAAAGCTAAGAGAATGTTTGCTGGAGATGGGTTAATGAATAAATCAACTAACGCTTACACCTAGCTAGCTGATTGTCAGTTAAGTAACTTAGCAAGAAATTAACCAATCCAGGAGTTGCTGAACTCACACTTCTCAAGGACAACAGCTCCTTCTGAAGGACTAGTGGGATGTGCATGATGGTGACCTAAATGGCCTGGTGTGACCTTGAGCCTGTTAGCCAATTGCCTTTGTCTTGTTCTCTACTCATGCAAAAATGGGGATAAAATTGATTATGTGTTGCTACCCAGTATGATTGGATCGTTTATAACACTTCTAGACTAGTGACTGTCACACAGGAAGCTCCCAGTCCAGGATGGCGATGATGACTGTGAGCTGTGCCTATGGCTCAGAGCTGTTGGGGTTGCACGGCTTTGCAGACACAAATGGCAAGCCACAGACACTTCCAAGTCTGGCACCATTTGCCACCTCCCCTTAGTTTATATCCGTTGTAACTGAAGTTTTGGGGAAAGTTTACCACTGCATTGTTCAGGAGCAGCACCTAAGATTTGAAGCCCACCCTCCTGCTAGACATCAAGGAATGAAGGGTTCCAATTCAGCATGGCAGTCATCACCGTCTTTGGGTTTTAACACATACCGTGGGTGGTTCTGTTCAAGGCCCACTGTGGTGGCCTACAGAATTCCACTCTCATTTCTTAAAGCACATCCCACCATCTCTCTCTCTCTCTCTCTCTCTCTCTCTCTCTCTCACTCTCACTCTCTGTCTCTCTCTGTCTCTCTCTGTCTCTCTCTGTCTCTCTCTCTCTCTCTCTCACTCTCACTCTCTGTCTCTCTCTGTCTCTCTCTGTCTCTCTCTGTCTCTCTCTGTCTCTCTCTCTCTCTCTCTCTCTCTATATATATATATATATATATATATATATATATATATATCCACTCCATCAATGGCTCTCTTGAGTTTCTAGAAGAGAGCGCCAACTCCTTGGCACTGGCCCTGGGACCTTTCAAGAGCTGGCTCCTACCTATGCCATACTGTAGTGAGGAGGCGACCCGACCTGCTTTTCATCCTGCCCAGCTTGGCACGGCTAGCTTAACACCAGAAATAACAACACACAAATTGTATTCATTTAAACACTGCCTGGCCCATTATATCTAGCCTCTTCTTGGCTAATTCTTACATATTTGTTTAAGCCATATCTAGTAATCTGTGTAGCATCACGAGTGGTGGCTTACCGGGAAATATTCTAGCCTACATGCATCTTGGGTCAAAGAATCATGGCGTCTGACTCACTTCCCTTCTTTCCAGCGTCTGTTCTGTCTACTCCATCCACGTATGTTCTGACCTATCAGGCCAAGCAGTTTCTTTATTAATTAACCAATGAAAGAAGACCCACCTACATCACCATACTCTTATGCCAACATCCCTCACCTGTGCTAGGCATTTCATGCCTCAAGACCCCAAAAAGAGGTTGTTCTTTCGATTTTCCCTCCCTTCCATTCATATGCCTCTAGTTCCTGGACAAATCACATTGCTGTGGCTCATTGATGGTGCATCCATTTCTCTTCATCAGTCCATGTGGACAGTGTTGCCAGACATGTTTTCATTTTACTAGGTATCCAGGGAATGGTGCAAAGGTACACTGAGAACGGGAAACCTTTTCAAGGATACACAATCTATCAGAAAAAAAAAAAAACATGCTCTCTTCAAATCAGTGTGATTTGTGTTTCCATCTGAAAATGAAGCCACTGATAATAGTATAGACAGAAGTTTCTCCCCAGCTGGTCCTATAACAATTCAGTACCAAAGAAACACACAAAGGCTTATATTAATTATAAACTGTTTGGCCTATTAGCTCATGCTTACTATTAACTATCTCTTACAACTTAAATCATCTATGTTTAGCCACGTGGCTTCGTACCTTTTCTCAGTAAGGCATTGTCATCTTGCTTACCCTGCATCTGGCTGGTGATTGTATTTCTACCTTTTCTCTTCCCAGAACTCTCCTAGTCTGGTCGCCCTGCCTATACTTACTGCTTGGTTACTGGTCAGTCAGCATTGTATTAAGCCAATATGAGTAACAAATCTTTACTGTGTACAAGAGCATCATCCAACAGCATAGTAAAGTGTCTTCTCAGAGAGAGTCCCTTGGTTTGGTCTACAGAGCCATTCCTTGGATATGGGAGCTCACACTAAGATTGTCCCTCTGGAATAGAGTTTGGGATTACCATGTGGAAGAGTACCCAAATTTCCAAAGGTAGCAAAGGTGAGTTCATTCTCTGGAGAGTCTTAGGTGGGAGGGAGCCTGTGGGGTAGACAGGCTACCCAAGGTCTAGCCTACCCAGCACAGGCTAGGTTACTGACTAATGATAAAGAGAGGCCTCTGAGCCAGGCGGTGGTGGTGCACACCTTTAATCCTAGCACTCGGGAAGCAGAGACAGGTGGATCTCTAAGTTTGAGGCCAGCCTGGACTACAGAGCAAATTTTAGGACAGCCAGGGCTAAACAGAGAAGCTCTGTCTTGAAAAACAAACAAACAAACAAATAAATAATACAGAGGGAATGAGAGTGAGCTCTGAGTGGTCAATACCACGGTGAAGAAGCTGAGCTGGATATCTATCAAATCTGAAGTATGTAAAGTGGATACCAAACAATTCCAGGACAGCAGACAGACCTAGCTCGTTCTCTGTGGCTGTGAAAAACACCATGAGACAAAATGACTTAGGGGAGTATCAGCTTACAGGTTACAGTCCCTCAGAGGAAAGTCAAGTCAGGAATTCAGGGCAGCACTTGAAGCAGAGTGGAACAATGCTGCTACCAGTCAGCTCCCAGGCTCTCAGCTCCCTTTCTTTTACCACTCAGGATTTCCTCCTAGAGGTGGCACTGCCACGGGGGGGGGGGGGGGGCTCCTATATCA